GGGTCCTATGAGATTCTATATGAATTTCAGGATGGATTTTTCTGCAAAAACCATCCTTGTAGTTTTAATAGGGATTGCATTAAGTCAGAAGATTCTTTGGATAGTTTTGATATCTGTCTGTCTATTTTGAACTGCTACAGCAAAATGCCTGAGGTAATTTCTTAAAAAAAGAAATTATATTTCTAATTTCTGGAAGCTGGTAAGTCTGAGATTGAGGTATCCAGCATCTGGTGATGCCGTATCATCACATGATGGAAGGAGGAATGGTAAGAGACCACACATATGACAGAAGGGCATGCCAGCTGAATGCTGTGTAAAGACCATTTTATAAAGACCTTAATCCTATTTATGAGAGAGGAACCTCCTTGATCTTCCCCTCTTAAACCCCCCCTACCTCATTAATATCACATTGGCAATACCTGAATTTTGGAGGGGACACATTCAAATCATAGTTGTATCTTAACAACTTTAAGTCTTCTCTGAACTTTAGATGTCTTTCCATTTGCTTGTTTCTTTTATTTCTTTGAGCAATATTTCATAGTTTTCAGCATGAAAATCTTTTGCCTCCTTGGCTAAATTTATTTCTAAGTATTTTGATATTATTATAAGTAATTTCTACTTTTAAATGTTTTAAAAACTATTTTTTACCTTTACATTTAATTCATTTGGGATTTTAATTTATAGTGAGAAATATACATTATCTTAAAAATTGTTTTTTCAAATAGAACAATTGCCTCAGTACCATATATTCATTAACATTTCCATTTCCCACAGATTTGTGATACTATATTCATCATATTACATTTTCCTTTTCTAAGTTACCTATACTGTATCACTCATCTGTTGATTCCTGTGTTTCTCCTTAGAATATAGTTGGAGTCTAGTCTGGGAGTGGACATGCATTTAGCACCATAGGAGAGTGGTTGCCAAGCCACTTGACTGCTCTTTATGTTCTTAAATGTTTGCTATTTCCACTTCCCATGTTTATTATCTGAAAAACACATGATTGCTTCTTATTAGAATCATTAGCTTTCTTAGAATCAGCTACATTTATTATATGATTTCTGTTACATAAAGCAATTGTTAACTTAGAGATTGGTGAGTTTTATAGTAGCTTAGGTCTTCTAAGGATAGTTCTCATTTCTTTTGTCAGATATTCGTTGGTTTGGTGGTGTACCTCTTATTTCCTTGGGCAGGAAGACCGA